CCGACTCGCTCGAGGCGCCGACGGCCGACGGGCCGAGGGTCCCCGTGTACAGGAGGCCCTGCTGGCGGAAGTGGCCGATCAGCGATGCCCACAGGGGGTCCTGCGCCGGCCATGGGCCCCACCGGGAAAGCAATCACGCGTCAGAACTCGACCAGCGAACAAGCACATCCCCCCCATGCCCATGCCCAAGCCCGAGCCAGCTGGCGCACCCGGCTCAGCAGGCCGACATTGCCGACGATGACCAGGCCGAAGCGCGCGCGCGTGATGGCCACGTTCAGCCGGCGCGCGTCCGACAGGAAGCCCACGCTCCGGCTGCGCACGGTCGACAGGATGATAATGTCCCGCTCGGACCCCTGGAAGGAGTCGACGCTGGCCACGTCCACCTGCTTGCAGGCCCGGGCCAGCTGGGTGTCCTGCTGGGCGAGGGCCTCGCGGATGTACTGGCACTGGGCATCGTACGGCGAAATGACGCCGATGTCCTCCGGCTTGATGCCCTGCTGCAGGAAGAGTCCCAGCACCTGGATCACCTTCCGGGCCTCGGACCGGTTCAGGAAGGACACCTTCGACCAGGAAGTGGTCTCGGTGCCGGTGTCCGCGTAGAACATCAGCGGCTTGCGCGGGTCGGGCCAGGAGAACTTCAGCCCCGGCTTGTGGCGCTCCGCCGCCGTCACCCCGTCCTGCAGGGTCCCCTCGTAGAAGGTCGCCGCCGGGAAGGCCGAGATGGCCGGGTGCATGCGGTACTGGATGTCCAGGCGCAGGGGCTTGCCCCCCATGCGGATGAGCCGCTCGAAGAGCGACCGGTTCAGCCCGGCCGCCACGGCCTGGTCGCTCATGACCACCGGGCCCAGCTGCATGTGGTCGCCCACCATGATGACCCGCGAGGGCCCGTGCAGCAGGGCCACCAGCGCCTCCGGGTCGGTCGACTGGGTGGCCTCATCGATGATGACCACGTCGTACTTGTTCGCGAAGGCGGCCGACGAGGAGAGGGTGGCCGCCACGATGGCGGCATTCTGCGTCCATCCCGGCCGGCGTCATGGCCCGGGAACGGGCGGGCGAGGGAGGGGAGGGGGGGGGTTAGCCACGGGCAGAGCAGCCCGGCCCGCTACGGCCGGCCGGCCGGTCGCGCCCACGTCCCGGAGCACGTACCCGGAGGTAATACTCCCGCAGCTGCTGGAGGTACTTGGTATCCGCGTATGTTTCCTTGCTGTCTTCGTGGTACGAGGGCCGCTGCCGGTTGGCCAGAATGGCCCGGGCCTTGGGGAAGGCCGCCTTGGCCTGGGGGATGGCCGGCCCGGCCCCGAGGCAGGGCGCAGTGGCGCACCGCGAAGCATGGCCCCAGTGTCAGTGAGCGCATCCTGCCCGGCGGCCCAGGAGGCGCGCTTGCCCGCTTGCCGCCCTCACGCTCGCGGGCCCCGAGGGATTGCTGCCCCCCCACCCCCACCCCGCCCCGCGCCAGACCCCCGGGTCGGCCGAGCGCACCTTCTCCAGGAAGGTCAGGTGCTTGTACGGGGAGCTGACAAACTCCCGCGCTTCGCTCTCCATCCACAGGACGTCCAGCCCGGAGGCCGACACCCGGCCGCAGAGGTTGGACACGGCCACATTCGACGGGGCCGACAGCAGCACCCGCAGGCCCTCGGACCGGAAGAAGTACACCAGGTTGGCGATGGTGGCCGTCTTGCCGGTGCCCGGCGGGCCCTGGATCAGGCTGAAGGGCTGCCCGACGGCCGCCTGCATGACCCGCAGCTGGGAGGCGTTGGGCCGGCTGATGCCCGGCGCGTGGAAGTCATCGGCCATGTGCAGAGGCTGGAAACCACTCCACATGCTCGGCCACCATTCTTCCGCATCCTCGTTCCTGGCCACCAGTTTGCGTCCCAGCAAGTGCTTGGTGATGCTGTCGTCCAGCTCGTCCCCCTGGGCAAAGCGCTCCAGCGCCTCGAGAACGCGCAGGTAGTGCACCGGATTCTCCACCGCCTTCACCGTGAAGCCCACCGACCGACCGAGCAGCGGCTCGTGCTCCGGGAAGACATGCCGCAGCAGGACCCGGACCTTCTTCGGTGCGGCTGCGAGGGAGGCCGGCGCAGGGTGTGGCCCGGGCCCGGGACCGTGCGCGCATGCGCCAGCCGGCCCGGCCATGACCGGTGGGGCGTCTCGGTCAGATGGCCAGCCAGCCGGGCGCGAGGAAAGAGAAAGGCCCCCCCCCCCCCCCTGAGCCGCGCACGGGCACGCACCGCCGG